TTCTAGATCTCTAATACTAGGCCAAATTATCTAAACCTGGCCTACTAAATCTAGGTGTAGGCCTGGAATATATCTATTAGAACCTAATCTAGGCAGCATGGCTAGATATAGCCTAATAGACCGACCATTGCTGGCATAATATAGACTGAGTATTCGTTGTTTCCTTAATGGCTATTACGCAATAATAATAATAATAATTTTACAAAAAGTAGAGCCTTTTTTGGAAACATTAAAAAGAAAAGCTGTTTTAAAAGTCGATCTGTGAACACAGAATAAATTGTAACTTGATTTGTCAGCTTACAACCACGCAGGATTGAGCTGGATAATCTACTTTCATGAAATAAAAATGTCTAGTAACAGAAAATAAAGCCCACCAGTGGTACAGCGGTATGTTTGTGGATTTACAACGCTAGAAACCGGGTTTCGATACCCGTGGTGGACAGAGTACAGATAGCCCTTTGTATAGCTCTGTGCTTAACTACAAATAAACAAACAAAATAAAATATATGCCTATTTTTGCATGGATGTCATTGAAACTTTGTATAGATATTCTTGTTAATGAAATACTAAAAAATATGTTATATGAAGTGAGATCAAGGTCACAGAAAAATAAATTTTTTGGCCATTTTTCACATAGTTTTGATCTCTAGATTTTTAGATCTCTAGGGTGGTAGTCTCGCTGCGGTCGGCGACCAGAATACAGTGTGGCAAAATCTCAAGTTTTGTACCCCCTCCAAAAAAATCCTGAGGACGAAACTGTGGATACATACAACTTTTTTTAAATTAACGTAATATCTGCATTAAGTAATTTATTTGGACTATCACTACGTTTTTATTTTTTCGTTTTTTTAATGCACAAGCTTTCGACTCAATTAACTAAGCCTTCTACAGGTACGAGACATTAAGTAAACAACAGGGTATAACGTCACAATTCGAATCACCAGATGCCTAGCAACAACTAAAAATAAGAACGTGCTGTAAGTTTCTTTACAACAATAAGCTTGAAGCCTAATAAGCTAAAATAAAAGAATTTTATAAGGTCAAGAAATATAGTGAGTCATATTATTATTATTGTGAGAAGACAAATATAGTTAAAACCGCATAGGCGACGAAAATATCAAAATTAAATAATAGGTTGAACAATCGCCAAAGTTTTTCGCGATTTTTCATACTATTGCTGTGGTTTGTTAACATATTGTTGAGAGCCTGAAAAGTTACTTAGCATAACTTCTGTTTGTGAGAATACGTTTTTATTTTAGAAAATTATAGAATAGGGAAATGGGCGCGCGCACACACACACATATATTTATATATATACCGTATTTTTCGGTGTATAAGACGCACTTTTTTACCCCAAAATTTGATGTCATAATCTGCTTGCGTCCTATACACCGAAGGTATGAATAATATATATATATATGTATATATACGATATACACAAGCCATATGTAAATATATTTAAATAGACATGCATAGTTTAGTTCAATTGAATGTGTTATTTATAACAATAGTA